GCTCTAATGGTGATGCTGCAGGAACAGGCTCGCCGACAGGATGAACAGGCCCGCCGACAGGAGGAACAGGTCTGTCAGCTGAAAGAGCAGCTGCAGAGCGGACAACAGTGCTTGATTTTGGATTTTATCTAATTTACAAATGTTTCTATTAGCACTCATATCATATAAAAAACAGCCAAAATCAATTCTGCTTCTTATAAGTGATAAGTATAACCTACCTAAATACTGCGGATGGATACCCCAACCATGCCCTGTTAATACTTTTAATATATTTACAAATTTTAATATCTGTTGGCTAATTTCATTAATGTGTTTAGACCATCTTAATGACCGGTCCAACCAAATACCCAAATATCGCATTTTGTCTTTCTCAACTATTCTCTTTCCATATAGTTCTAATTTAATTTCCTGACGTCTAAAACCTCTACTAAAAATCATAAGCTTAGTCTTGGCGATAGAAATATCTAAGCCAATTTTATTAAGTGAAGTAATTATAAAGTTTAAAGCATTCTGAATGTTATACTCACAGTCCTTAAGATTTTTTGAACTCGAATAGATTACAAAATCATCTGCATATTGAGCGATATATACATTTTGTATTTGTCTACATATATCATGTGTAATAATGTTAAATAACAAGGGAGATAGAGGATCACCCTGCGCCAAACCCTTACTGGCCCATTTTTTCAATTCCCCTTCATGTGATTCCCTTTCTGTAACAAGATATCTTTCGGTTAAAAAAAGACCAAATATATTTACAAAATTTTGAACCAACCCGAAGTCTGTCAAGAACATTAACTAATTTATCAATTGGGACATTATTATAAGCGTTCTCTATGTCAATAAAGCAGGCGACAGTAGGTATATTTTTTGAAAAACCTAGCTGAATATGTGTTACTAAGCATACTAAACAATCCAAGCACGATTGAGATCTGCGAAACTCACTGGTGAAAGGGGATAATATCTTGTTGTGTTCTATGTACCATTCTAATCTTTTCGTTATAAGAGCATGAAATATCTTACAAATACAGGACATTAGCGATATAGGCCTTAATTTATCCTTATTGCCTAGCTTAGGTATAGGAATAATTTTAATATTTCGCCATTGCATGGGTATGTATCCCGTTGTTAAGATTATGTTAAATAAATATAATAAATACTGTTTGGTGACATCAGGTAAATTGTAAATCATAGAATAAAAAATGTCATCGAATCCGGGGGATGTATCTTTCTTCTTTAAGCAATTTTCAAACTCCTGAATAGTGAATTTAACTTCCAATTGTTCATTTACTGACGAAAATTCAGGCATTCTAGGCAGTACCGAAACCGGAGCAAGATTATTTAATAGATCTTTCAGCTTTTCTTCAGTAGGATAGAATTTGTTAGACTTAAGTCCCTTTACCCAACGCATTTTATTCCATAAAACAGATGTATTTGTAGTTTCATCAAAACTATTGCAGAATTTTTTCCAATTATTAAATTTAGCTTCTCTAATCATTTTTCGGCTTTCTGCCACTTTTTCTTGTAGCTTAGTGAGGTTTAAAGGTGTTGGATTTCTTCTAAAAATTTTTAAGGCTAGCCTGCGTTGCGCAACTATTTTTGATAAATATGGGTTCGAATACACTTTTGGTTTAAAATGTTTTTCTGGGTCAATACTGATTTTAGTTATAGGAATATGTTCATTTGCTGCTTTATTAATCTCTTTTTCAAAGTGGTTATACATACTTTGTACATCATCACCTGTCCATACGGGGTTTTGAAATGAAGCTTCAAGATCTCTTATATAAGAGGACCAATCAGCTGATGAGAATTTTCTTTTTCGAACATAACGTAGTACGTGTAAAATACAGATAATATTCATTTACAGATGATACGAATTTCAATAATAACTTATGTCATTGTTTCTTTAATAGCGTCGTATTCTAATTTAGTTGTCATCTATTAGTCTGTGTTGTTTTCTATTGTATTGTAAATGATTGAACACTAGGTGTCGCCGATTTATTTATAAGGTAAAATTTAATTCACGATGTAGAGAGTGTCCAGCCGGACCATTAAGTAAGTTTGCGATTTTTGTACTCTTTAGCAAATACATGCACTACATCCACCGTACATTTGGAGTTTCATTTCTAATGAACACATATAGTATTGGTGAAGATTTTTGAAAGTGTGAAGCTGTACAGGACGTCTTTGAATTTAATGTAAGATTTAATAATCAAATGATCACTACCAAGACTTTCGTTAGTTATATGCTAATTAAAGTATATAGCAATATCGGAAGACGCAAATGTTATGTCAGCTGAAGATTTTTGAAGACATTCATTTACAAGTTTAATTCTGTTAGCTTCTCCGTTATTTGTTGATATGAAACCGAAATTCAAGGAACTGTCTAATAATTGTGCCCCTCTGGTGTCAATTTTATTAGACCAGTTGGTGTGATGCGCATTAAAATCTCCTCCAATGACACATTTGCGTGGGCAAAGGGCGAATATGTTATTCCAGTCAGTTGAAGAACTTCTAACAGAAGATGGGCAGTAAATAGATAAAACATTTTCAAGATACTTACAATTGAAGATTTTGACATAAACTACTTCTAAACCAGTATTGCTTGTACTTATTGAATATTGATGCGCCTTAATTGATTTATGTGTCATTATAGCCACACCACCATATGAGTCGCATCTATCTTTCCTAAAAATGTTATATTCACTTACTCCTAGAGGCGAGCTCTCAACCAACGTTTCACTCACAATTGCTATGTGTATTTTTTCTTGTATCAACAGGAATTCAAAATTAACTATTTTGGGCTTAATACTTTGTGCATTCCACTGGAGTTTAGACAGCGTAAAATCCTTTGATGTGTTATCCATTAACTGCATTTAAAAATTTATTTAATATTTCTTTTTCCATTATAGGTTTCATAAAGATTATTTTCAACTCTCCAGTTACTAACTTAACAATATCGAGAATCTTATCTTCTACTTTGCTTTCAGAGAACAGAATTTCTTTTACCCTTTTAATAATTACCCATATCTTAGATATCTTTTGTTTCTCCTCCTGTTTTTCTGTACATGCGTCAGTTTCCATTTTTATCACTTCTTCATTATTTAATGTAGCTGACTCGGTTGCAACAATGGACTTTTTTTGCTTTGAATGTTTAACGTTTTAATTAGGAACTTTTTTAATATGTTTGTTTTTAATGTTTTTGTAAGTTGCTTGTTTTTTACTGGTATCCTCTTCTCCACTTTTGGTATCTGATAAGTTTTGATTTATGTAGTTATTTGTTAGAAGTATATCTCTATATGATTTCGTATAATCAGCACTTGGTACTTTATCAGCCTTTTGTACTTTATTCATAGATGTTGGGCTATCCATAGTTTGTTTTGTCTGTTTTAAGTAAATATCCAGTGCTTTTCTGTAGCTAAAATGTTGTTGACTCATGATGTTACGAATACTCTTTTCCTTAATAAAAATAGGGCATGCTTTATCAAGTGCCATATGTGGGCCTTTACAGTTTACACATTTGTATTCAATAGTTTCGCAATTTGTATGTCTGTCTCCTCACTTAGGATATAAAATCTTTTTATTCGGGAAAAAATTTTACGTAATGTCCAAAATCCAGCATCCAGAACATTGCGTGACTGGAAAGTGATAGATTTCGACCTTGAATCTGCATCCATATCCATACACATATGAAGGCGGTTGTTCACTTTTGAATGTCAAACTAAATGTTTCGCTGTCTGTCCACTTACCAATTTATATCTAAGCGTTTGAGTCTTTTCACAGACGAAATTTCACATGATGAGGACAAATTTTCTAAAATTTCTTGTTCTTCAATTCCTATATCAATTCCTTTTACAACTCCAAAAGATAAGTGTGTCTCATTCACAATACGACAATGATAACCCAAATCTAAAATCTTTTTACAGTTTATTAGCTAATAAGCATCTTCTAACTTCTGGAATTGAACCAAAACCTTATACGGGCCTTTATACCGAATTTTCATAATGTTAATAATATTTTCTGACTTAAATAGTTTGGCCAAACCTATTTGTTTAGGAAGGCATTGCAAAGATGTAATACAAACTTCATAATATTCTTCTAAGCGTTGCATTTCCAACGGCGTTGTCAATGCGTCAATGAGTTGATTATTGTCGGCACTTTTTGTTAAATGACTCCTAATACGACATTTTGGTTTTCTCCTTGTAGCTGTTGTAAAACTCTCTTCACTGTTATCTTCTCCACTGTTCTCCGTTTTTTTTTCTTTTTTCCGCTAACCTAATTTTATGTTGGGTTTGCATCTTATTTTTCTCTACAAATTTGGAATTTTCAACTCATGTTCACAATCGCTTACACCTTTACAATCACATTGGTCACTATTCTCAAAGTTACCATTGTCTTCCTCATTACCCTCTACCATGGGACAGAAATTAGTTTAAAAGAAGAATAAAAACAGCGATTCACACGAATAAAACGCTGAAAAATTAAATTTTTTGGAAAAAATTTATCAAACACTTGTGACAGCTAATCACCATGACAACCGTTCGAAGAATTGACATGTTAATAGAAATAACTAACCTATCCGTTAGTACCATACACATTATATTGTGTATTGTAGTATAAAAGACCTTCGGGGAAAGCTATTGGCTGACGATAATAAAATCAAATAATAATAAAAGCTGAGTAAATGAGCATTTTTCAGGCCAAGACGAAGAATATTAGTTCAATTAAATAGAAAAGCTTCTTTCTATTGCCAATTGAAATAATATTATTAAGATGTACTGATGTCATGGGGGACTATCTCTTTTCTAACATGGCAGTATCGAGAATACATTGAACGCCCCTCGGCAACACGGTCAAAAATGTTAGACCGTTATAATATCACCCGACGGCTACCCGCGCCACGTAACTTTTTGATACGCATGGCTATGATAACGAGTCGTGCCGCTACGAATATTATAATAGCGAATTCACTGTCATAGATTAAATTGTTTCATGTGCAGGCGTGTGGTATGGCAAGGTGGGTGGGTGGGTGCGCTGGCATCGTACGGTGGCGCGCTGTACCTGAGTGGCGGCGAGCGCGCGCTGATGCGGCTGCCGCTGCACCGCCGCGACGCGCCCGCCGCGCCCGTGCCGCATCTTGCGCGCCTCGCCGCGCTGCTGCCCGTCGCCAAGGTACACAGTACTGTACGTACGGCGGCGCGCTGTACCTGAGCGGCGGCGAGCGCGCGCTGATGCGGCTGCCGCTGCACCGCCGCGACGCGCCCGCCGCGCCCGTGCCGCACCTCGCGCGCCTCGCCGCGCTGCTGCCCATCGCCAAGGTACACAGTACTGTACGTACGGCGGCGCGCTGTACCTGAGAGGCGGCGAGCGCGCGCTGATGCGGTTGCCGCTGCGACGCGCCCGCCGCGCCCGTGCCGCACCTCGCGCGCCCTTCGCGCTGTTTCCCGTCACCAAGGTACACAGTACTGTATGTACGGCGGCGCGCTGTACCTGAGCGAAACCTCTGCAACTTAACGTTTAGGTTCAGTGTGCCTTTAACCATTCGGTGATCGCTGCCAGTTTTCACCTGAGAGACATCACTGACCAGTTGGCGTCTGGTCGTCATAATGTCAATGTAAATCAATCTTATTTTTTGTCGAACCGTCGGGGCTCAACCAGGTCCAGTTTCTGTAGGGCCGCTTCTGGAAGAAAGAGTTCATCATAAAAAATCCCTCTTTCGCCATGAAGTCGGCCAGCTGCTGGCCCCTTGGGTTTCGTTGCCATATCCCAAATTTCCCTACCTTTAGCTCACCGTTCTTTCTTGTGCCCAGTTTTGCGTTGAAGTCTCCCATTAACACCGTATAGTGAATTTTGGAGGAATGCATGGTTCTAGAAATATCCTCATACATTTCCTCCACCTCCTCATCGGGATGTTCCGACGTTGATGCGACCTGTATGACCTTCAGCGAATACCGTTTGGTGATTCTGAGGTACGCAACCCTTGTCGATACACTCCAAATCTTTACAACTTTGTTAACGAGAGACTTGTGGACGATAAATCCAACACCTCCTTGGGACAGAGATGTCGCCCTCGCGGTGATAGAACAAGTTGCCGGATTCGAGAATCACCGTGTCCTCCCCTTCTCTTCGGACCTCGGATAATCCTATAATATTCCAGCGCAACTTATCTATCTCTTCTTCCAGCTCCAGAATCTTCTCGTCAGTCCTCAGGGTGAGTGCGTTATATGTTGCCAGGTCGAGTCGTCGTATGTGGCAACCGAACCTCCACCAGAGGTTCTTAGCACCCCCTGTCCCGCCGTTACCATGGTCGCCGCTGTAGCCAGGAATAGCGGGGCCGCCGGGGTCTATTTGCGTCATTTCTCATGAGGGTTATATTGCCATAGTTGCCACGCTTGGCGAGCGGGTTGGCAACCGAAGTTTTTTTTTTGTACAGTTGCTGCTATCAGGAAGATGCTGCTGCCCATCTCCTGCCTGTCTCCCTCTGTCGCCTCTTACGAATCCCACGAGAAGATATGGGGTAGTGGATATTCTTAACCGCCACTACACGACATTTATATATATATATACATATATATATATATATATATATATATATTCGTAAATATAAATTGAATATAGTAAGATTAATAATACATAAATAAGTAAAAACTCAACCCTCAGATGAGACCAGTTGAGGTAAGGGAGGGGAGGATATCGGGACAATCCCTTTCGAGCGCAGAGCGGTCCGTCACGGTTCCAGTCGCCTCAGATGACTCAAGTGGTTGATCGGGATTATTATTATTATTAATAATATACAAAATTAAAAATTTGGTGAAAAAAGTGAGTGTGTGTTTGGCAGGTGGCACGCGAGCACCCGTGCTGGTCCGGCGGGACGGGGAGCACGTGCGGCGCGGCACCGGGTGCGTGCGGGGCGGGTGGTGCGTGCGGTTGTGCGCTTCGCTGCGCGCCGCCGCCCGCCTGCGCGCCGCACCACGTGGCCTGCGCGCGCGCGCCGCGGTGCATCCCCACCGCCTGGAGGTTGGTGCCGCTCCACATCTACCTTATTATATTTACCGCTCAACCCCACACGCCGACTGCTTTAAATGCGAACAGCACATGTTGCATCTCTTTGTAAACATGTGTAACACTGCGCTACGCCGCGCAATCGCACCAACTATGTTCACTGCGCGAATGTGCTAACTCACTTCTTTAAAATGTTTTAGCGTAGCGTAGGACCGGGACATTGAAAGGATGTGTTAAGTTGTTCACAGAATACAGAGGAGTGTTATTGAACACTTGTAGTATTACACGAATCTTATTTTGTGCAAGTAATTTTTGTAAACTGCAACTCCGCAAAATGTAAAAAGAGTGATAGTGATAATCTTTTTTATCTTACTTACCGGCCACAAGGTTTTATTTTGACAGATGGCTAAGTTGACAGCGATAATCTTTTTTATCTTACTTACCGGCCACAAGGTTTTATTTTGACAGATGGCTAAGTTGACAGCAGTGTGTAAAATGTTTTGCGCCATGACGCAATTTTAAGTTAGCGCAATAATACGGCGCAGTAAACTGTGCCTTAGTTCCTTAGTTAACGCAGAAAGAATATAACTGAGCTACCCATGTCTATCCCTTTGCATATTCTATCGCATCTAGCACAGGGAATGCTCAAAGATTTTGTTCGAACTAATGCTGCTGCGTCTGCTCAATTTCACCATCGTGGCGTTGCGGTCCACCACTGTACGATTTGCAACAAATTTTCTTCCTCGAACAACTTCCGTTTAGAATCGCTTACCACCAGCGATTTTTCCGAACTGATACAATTTTGGAATGTTCAAGAAAAGTGCCTACTCTTTTTTTAAAGACGAACAACGCTTCAGCTACAATTCCCTTGGTGTTGCAGTTGTTAATGGGCGGCAGTAGCCACTTACCCCCAAGTGAGCCGCGTGCTCGTTTATCCCCTCTAGTATAAAAAATTAATGACGGCTTCCACAACTTCTTCTGCGTGTCGTGTCAGATCGCACTCCCTTGGGACGATAAGAGCGAGGAACTAATAGAGTGTGCCTGTACTTGTGTATATTCTTTTTTTTCTCCTCTTAGAAATAGTTAATCAGATTAATTTATTTATCCATTTCTAATCTAATAATAGCTATTTAAAAAATTTTACCGCTTAAATGCCAATACAGAAGTATTGGCGTTTCAGAGAATCAAATGTCACATTTGAAGACCCTGCCAGAGAGTATAATATAGTATATAGATATAGATATAGTAATATTTAGAAGGGACCCCTTAGAACCAAAGAATATACAATCACTACGTTTACTCAAAACCTAAGAGTGCTCACAACGATTCTTTTTAAATGTTATTTATAAGAATTATACTACTAAAATTTTATGATTTAGGTATTCAACGAACTTACAGTCCATCTGACGATGGTAAGTGGCTATTGCAGCCTATGGTCACCTCTACGAACTGAGGCATTATTTATACCGGTACTAGGTAAGAAGGGATTACCCAGACGATCTCGCAGACAGAAATGGGTCTTAACACTTAATTCACACATAAACTTAAAAAATTGGTAATACGAAGTAGCTGAAAGACACGCTGTTCGTAAAAAAATTATATGCGTATTATGATATATATATACCGGTTATTTTTGAAACGCTCCCGAAAACAAAGACGATAGTACTAAAGAAACCTTTGATGATGAAACAACATTTTTCACAATGTTTAATTAGCTTTATTTACGCTCCATCATGTTAGTATAGCTAAATGAAACAATAATTTCATAAAACAATCATGAAAATACTTAAACATAAAACCAGCAGTGGAACTTCAAATACCTAACATCAGCTGATAGGGGTCAGCTACTTAGTTAGCTGAAAGACACGCAGTTCGTAAAAAAATTATATGCGTATTATGATATATATACCGGTTATTTTTGAAACGCTCCCGAAAACAAAGACGATAGTACTAAAGAAACCTTTGATGATGAAACAACATTTTTCACAATGTTTAATTAGCTTTATTTACGCTCCATTATGTTAGTATAGCTAAATGAAACAATAATTTCATAAAACAATCATGAAAATACTTAAACATAAAATCAGCAGTGGAACTTCAAATACCTAACATCAGCTGATAGGGGTCAATGTACGCGCGGCTCATGAGCAATTTATCTACTCCAGTGCGCGCGGCCCGCAGCCCGCGATCGTACCAATACCTAATAAATTACAACTTTTCTAAATACCTAACTTGTTTACTTAACCTACTATTTTACCACTGTGCTAGTCTCCACCTAGCCACTTTAATTCGAATTCACAGGTTAAGTAAACCAAATACCTGGTTTGATTATGAAATATTACTTAATTTATTTAGTAGGTATGTTTATTATGCTGATGTATTCAGTTATGTACCTATTCAGATCAGTTTTGTACTAAGTTTTTTTAAAAAAATTAGGTATGAAACAGCTTACCGATCTAAATCTATTAATAAACCGACCCGTACGTTTACCAACCATCGGGTTTGGTGCTCGGTTTACGCTTTTACACCTTATAAACTCTCCAGTATGACACATTTGTTCCATCCCGACGCCTTAATAATTTAGCGATACGTTATAAAACTGTAAATAGTACATCCGTAATGCACGCGAAGCATTGCCGCGATCTTCTCCAAGGCTAATTAACATGTTGCCGTGTTCACGAGCATTATAAACGTACGCATTAGGCATTATTAAAACAAAACAGGAAACACAAAACGTAACAAGTAATGACAAGTAATAAAAGCAAGAATTTAATAAACAAAACGTTTGAACTGTCGTATCGCGCACACGGAACTGTTTTAATAACTAATTACGGTTCTTCAACATGTGCGGCGTTGCCAAACCGAAATTAACCTACTAAAATTTGACCTTTGTCAAATTCTCCAAAAGTCCATTTCAAATTCCCCTTAATTTTATTTTAAGTAATGAAACAATTTTCAATTAATTTTATAACTTATTTTAACTAACATTTTTTACCGATATTTTTTTTACCCTCCATATTTTTGTAACAAGCATTTTACTCTATGGAGTATTTTTAATTTGTTCCCTTATTGCCATTAAAAAGGACCACAGTAGCTGCATTTACTCTGCTGTAAAATAAAAAAATAAAGAAATTAAAAATATTAAATGATACAAAAGGTTGTCAAATAAATCCAAAAATTAAATGTGGTGCAAGATGATAATTAAAAAAGGGGTCATTCGATATTCATAAGTAACCTTACAAAAATGTTAAGATAATTAGGTATTTAGATTTCATGAAAAAGAGTCTGACTTGGCCCAGGCAATCGATTTTCAAAATCGCCGCATAATAACAATCCCCAAAAAATCCCCAACCAATTTTAAATTCCCGTAATTTGGGGAATTCCCCACATGTTGGCGACTTTGAGCAGATGTAAATTGCGAGGCTATACGATTCGGCCAAGAGGCGGCAGCGCGTGTGTGAAAGGGAAGGGTAGAATGAGCGTGAATAAATTTTGTTTCGCATAGTTGTCGTACAGCTAAATAAAAAGAACGTCCGCGGGTTTTTCATCCCATAATCAGCTGAATTCAAAGGAGACAATCATTTTTGGGCCCACTAGAAATTTTAGTGTTTTGCAATAGTATCACACACAAAAAAGATACCAATTTATTATTATATATAGCCTAAAGATTTTTGAAATCCTAAACGGAATCAAGAAATGTGAAAAAAAGTCATTGGTTCTGGTAATGTAATATTTAAAAATAATTGTCTTAGAGATTTGCCAGTCGAAAAAAAAATCGATTCGAGTTAACTCTAGTTTAAATTCAGGTAACTCGATTTTGAACTCGAGTTACGCAATTCAAATTAGCTGAAGGAAGCTGTGTCAATTTATCACATATTATTTTTCTAATTGTTTTTCCATCCAACACAATTATCATTACTTAATATATTTTTAAACCACTTTCCACATAAGAACAAAATAAAGTCTGTGGTTATTGGTTAAGTATTTTTCGATGGTTGCATAATGAACACGTTTGATTTTTATTTACAAGCATTACAAGACCAATGTTTAAGAGAATATGGATATTATCAATTTTAATGAAGGTTAAACAAATATTAATTTACACATTACGTATGTATTTCTCTTTATTTTTTGTGTTGAAATTCGCAAATATAAGAGTTTATTAATATATTAGAAAATCTATTAATAAGTTTGCTGAATTACCTCAAACAAATACAAATAACAAACAGGTCTTAGATAGTTTGTTAAAAGTGACAAAGTATTTAGTTTATGTTATTAGTAAAATCTAAATTAAATAATAAATAGAATAAATACACAAAAGAAGGTATTATAATGTTAAAAGAAAATTAGAATGTTTGGATCGAGGGATAAGCGAACTTCTCTATTTGATACCACTTCATCTTTTTTGGAGAGCAATTCATTTAGCTGCATTTGTGTACAAATAGGTACCTTATGTATTCAGCAATTTGGTTAATACTAAATAACTTATTTGTTAAGCCAGACACGGATCCTGGATTTATAGCAGCCATAGATAGGCAATATAAATGGTACATATATTTATTTGTCAAAATGTAGTAATTATTTGTACTAGAAGCAAACATAAAGATTGAATAATAATAGTTTGTATAAAAAGTGTAATGTTTATATATGCTATGCTTAGACAGTTATGTTGTTCACTCTGCAGAAAGAAATATAATTTTGTCATCTAGAATCCGATGTACTTAATATAACAATATCTTTTTCTCCTATGTACATGAAACCAGTGAAAATAAAATGTGAGACAAGTTTTACATAGTCGAATATCGTTGATGTTAATCAATAATTACTGCTTCTGTATTTGATCAGCTGGAGCTGATTAATGCTGTATAATTTATAATAATTTATTTTTTATTTAACATATGAACAGGCAGATAAGAAGATAAGAAAATACTGACAGAAATATGTTTGTTGACATTGAAGGCATAGCCTTATCTCATATCTCTTATTATTAAAAATCTCATTTTATTTATTTATAGAATTATTATTTAGTTAATACACCTTTACAATATTCATTAATTTCTTTTCAGGTTGATCGCTTAGAACAAACTGTATTCCTTGCAAGCTGAAAGCTTGCAAAGACAAAAAGTGTATGGATATTATCATATCTCTTATCATTGAAAATGCCCTTTTGATTTGCTTACAAAATCATAAATGGGCATGTTACCATCAAGTTATTTTCAAAAAACCTTAAGGAATATATCTAACACAAAAATGTTTCTACCTATGACCATTATAGACAAAACATAAGAAACCATCCAACCAATTTAAATGAAAATGTTTGTATGTTTTAGTGGATCCCAAGATGCTTTATATTTACATTTGGACCCGGTAGATGGCACTGTTGTCGAGATCCACAAATCACCAGTGCTGCAGCTGAAGCGCATCGCTAGTAATAAATACATTAAAAATATGCCTGTGTTTTGCAATCCTTACACAAACAGTTTAAAACAAAACATCTTACTTCTTCACTATTTATCATTATGTAATAACGTGGATAAGCATGTTGATTTTATTATGTTGTATAAGTAATTACTAATCAACCAAAACATATTAAAACAAAGTTTTGACACCGCTCCTGTCTGTCTATCTCAGTTAATCATCAAAGTTCAAAAACTTTATTAAGCTAAATTTGTATAAAAAGAGTTACTATAATATAAAGGAATTTATGGATGATAATAACCCCTGTGTAAGGTGATCGCTACCAAGCTATTTCTAATTTGTTCTGTGTTGTTAATGATGAGGTACATAATTGTAAGCAGTTATTTTAAATAAGTCCTACTGGGTATTTTGCTGGTTCTCTTCAGGAAAGAGGTTTTTTCCGAACCAGTAGTAAATTAAAAAAAGTGACTCAATAAGTATTATTCATAATCTAAATTGAATAAAAGGTTGCTATTTCTATACCTAGTGTGTTGGTAATATTATAAATATAAATAGACATATTATCCCTTAGCCATCTTGGTATTTGGAATTTACACTCACAATCAATCAATACATGTCAAAAATAGAATCCATACGACATTTGTGCACAGATAGGCACTATGTTTTGCCGGAACTAGTGAAAGGTTTTAAAGTATCTATAAATGCTGAATATACCTAAAGCTTAGTTTTATATGTACTGTTATTCAAGTGTGCACTATTTTAACTTATAATACCGATGAATACTACTAGAATATCGCTTTCAGTTTGTTTTTAGGTTATTGTTAGATTCACATTGTATTTGTTAATTTCTCAGGACTCCGTTTAGATGCAGTAAAACTAATAATATTATTATAATCTATGGATTATAAGGAATAAATCGACATGCATTTCATTGAGAATTGTTAAAATTTATAGTGGGCCCATTCTCCATACAATAATTGATTTTTTCCTTTATTTTCACTGCTAGTTTTATGTTTAAGTATTTTTCATGTTTTTTTTTTTTTAAATAAAATTATCGTAGCTGTACTAACATGATGGAGCGCGAATAAAGCTAATTAAATGTTGTTTTTTTTTTCACTGGGATCGTTTTTATTTTCGTCACATCATCAAAGGTTTCCTTAGTACTATCGTCTGTCTTCGTTTTCGGGAGCGTTTCAAAAATACTCGTATATTGAGAGATCCATGCTGGACTCAATTAAGGAAACACGGGTCTTATGCATGATCTTAGATATCATGCGTCCACTATACACTTTTAATAAAAAAATATAGTAGAACTTCCCTCTAGAGAAGACTAACTGAATGGTCATGTCATCTGTGAGGTCGGTAGCCTTATATGGTATACCGATTAATCAAATATGGGCCTCGACGTAGGCTTTGATATTTATTGGGAACGCCCCAAAGTCAAACTTATGAATTTGGGTAGATCCATTTCACTCATCGTCCATAAATCTACGCCATACTTTAGTGTGCGGAAATCAATCTGCAAAAACACTGCGTCAACCATATAATCTCTGCTAGCACTAAGATCAAACTTGGTGAACTCGAAGCTAGTTAGAGACTGCGTAAACCGTCAAACGCCCTGGAATGTAACAACAGGGTCGTTTTAAGATGCGTTCATTAAAGGCAATGAACTTGTCGCCAAACTCGCACGGGAATAAATAAAACGCTCAAGGAATACACAATGTGGACCCGAGCCATTTTGTGGAATTTCAAAAGGCCTAGTCCGATTGATCCTTGAAACTCTTTATCACAATAAATCACTAAAGATCTAGTCTAACACACCAGGCTTAAAACATTCTAAAACCTTAATCCGGGCTTTTGATCGTAAATTCGCTTCAAAAACCCTGAGATTAGCTGGATAATGTTGTCTGAAAAAGCACGTGTCCATTCTGGGACTAAACAACTTGAGGATATGCCGGTTCTGTCCCTTACCGAAGAAAAGCCTGTGCACATTCTGACTGATTATGGGCCCTTAATGCACAAACGTAACACTCATCTAAGAAATTATGTACTCCGCCCAGAAGAAGTGAAAATACTCACAGCTAAGCAACTCCTTTTATTTATTGAAGACGGCTTAGCAGTAAACTATAGCTATAGCAGCGATAACAATAGATCCTTTCGGTCGCAGTAATACTAGTCTTTCTGGACCTGCATAGCTGCTCACACATAATAAAAAAGGTCGCGGGTTTTATCCCGAATTTAACAAGTATTTGTATGATTTACAAATAATGGTTCCAGTTCTGGATGTTTGTTCTTGTTGAAATTTTGATTTGTAAACTGCCTCCACGGAAAAATCGTAGGGTATCGTAAAGAAAACTATGTGTGGAGCTCACACGCGGCGGAAGTGAAACCTTCAAAAAACTAAACTTTAAAATTGCTTTGTATTAGCGCCTTCTACTTCATTCTAATTATGAATGTAAAGTCATTTTATCGAAAAGCATTGATTACTTTCGATTGGCACGTAAAATAGACACTAGATGGCTTAAATACGACTAATTTAATATAAGGTTCTATGACATTCTTTCACAGGCCTTTGATATATTTTCCTTGCAACAACATTATAAGAAAGAAGAATTTTTTCACTTAAAAATATTTTTTAGATGCGACGGCACGGTGGACTGCCCGGATGGGTCTGACGAGGGCCCGGAGTGCGGGTCGTGTACAGGCGGGCTCCGCTGCGCCGACGGTTCGTGCGCCGCCGCGCTTGGCGCCTGCGCCACCGGCGCCTACTGCGCCGCACCTCTGCCTGCCGCCTTCCGGTACGCGCACGCACGCACGCATGCACTCACACACACTCGCATGCACCATCGGCGCCTGCGTCGCACCGTTGCCAGCCGCCTTCCGGAATGCGCACGCATGCACTCACACACACTCGCATGCACGCTTGGCGCCTGTGCCGCGCCGCTGCCCACTACCTTCTGATACGCGCACGCACGCACTCACACTTGCATACACGCTCGGCGCCGGCGCCGCGCCGCTATCTGCCGCCTTCTGGTACGCGCAGTCAGGCACTCACACGCACTCGTATGCTCGCTCGGCGCCTGCGCCGCACCGCTGCCCGCTGCCTTCCGGTACGCCCACGCACGCTCTCACTCACTCGCATGCACGCTCGGCGCCTGCGCTGCGCCGCTGCCCGCCGCCTTCCGGTACGCGCACTCACACACACTCGCATACACGCTCGGCGCCCGTTCCGCGCCGCTACCTGCCACCTTCTGGTACGCGCACGCACAAACGCACGCACTCACGCACACTTGCATGCACGCTCGGCGCCTGTTCAGCGCCGCTACCCGCCGCCTTCCGATACGCACACTCACGCACTCGCATGTGCGCTCGGTGCCTGCACCGCGCCGCTGGTCGCCGCCTTCCGGTACGCGCGAGCACGCACGCACGCACTCACACACTCGCATACACGCTCGGCACCTGCGTCGCACCACTGCCCGCCATCTTCCGGTACGCGCAAGCACGCACTCACACACACACGCTCTACGCAAGTCTCGTAAGACCAGTATGACCTGTTGTGATCGCTGATATGGCTATAGTTCACTGATAAAGCCCATTTCTTCAATGAATGAGAGCATCCACGACTTCGGTGCCACTTAAGAATGAGGCGAAATATTTAACAGATTTTATGGCTGGGTAGTGAGGGGGTTAATGTTTCTTTCTGTAATATTAATTATATTTTTTATTCATTACATTAGAATTGAATAAACCTAACTACGGATATTTCTTAAAGTAGAAATATTTAAAAAAAAGAGTTTAAAATATCCAAAAAATTAAAGATCACCGTACCTCAATGCGTAAGTCCTTGTTTAGTGTATTTACATAATACTCTAAAAACCGATAAACTCTAATTTAAAACGCAGCTTCTCAGTTATAATGACACTGTGTAACACAAAACTTCACCTCAGTCGCAACTAGTGGCATCGTGTAAGAGAAAGATTATTAGCCATTATAGAAGTTGCTTAGATGTGTGAGCATTTTCACTTTTTCTGAGCTTAGTATGTAGTTCCCCAGATGTGTTACGTTTGCATAGATAGTGCAGTGGTATTTCTTCCGTTAAGGAACAGAATCCATCCTTGAGTTATCTAGTCATAAGATATACTTTTGTTTTTTTTTATAACAAGTTTCTTCATCAGCTGCCAAACCGCAGTTTTTTGACAAGAGTAGCTAGGTACTACTACGATATGGTATGGCCAAGGTTAGTTCCTGCTTCAGTATAAAGATATGGGCCTGGATATGTATAATATATCCAGGCCTATATCTTTATACTGAATAATAATAAATCATAAATATATATATATATATATATATATATATATATATATATTATATATTAAAATAACATTAATAGCCACTGTGTAAATAATCAATTTTTTTGTTTCAGCTGTGATCAACGTTTGTGCTTAGCGCCACAGTTGCTATGTGATGGTCGGCTACACTGCGAGGACGGCTCAGATGAATTACCCTCAGCATGTGGTTATGGACAAAAAGAACCGGTAAAATACAAAATAATTTTAACAATATTATGATATTAAACTATATTAATTTACTGCCAGTTAAAGGACTCTAGACTCTTCTAGAATCACTTAATTTCAAACAGTATAGACTTCTAACAACTCAATAAATAATTAATAAGATCAGGCGTTGCTATGCGGATATCCATTATATTAAAGATGTTAAAAATTAATTAGTTGAGATCTGCGTACTAAAAGAAAAGATTGTCTATTACTTACTCTGAAGAGCACATCCTGCCCTCGCTCAATAGCCCTTAACCCCTCTCGTCTTAATATACCTGTAAAGCTGTAACAAAACAATGTGTTTAGCACGAGTTACAACTACTTATTCAAATTGTATCTTACATGTAATATCTTTATGATTTTAAGGTTAAGGACAACACAGTTAAAGTTTTTGTCTCCATTAGTATATTAGTAGTATTACATATTCTTTTGAAGTTACGCGTCGACACGCTCGCATTGTGCGGGTCGTTATTTATTTAATTAATTAATTTTTTGAATAGTTATAGTCAACCAAATCTAAGAAATACCTTTTGACGTTTCACATTAATCATTCCGTAATAACTTTTCGCAAGCGTACTCATACGATTTACAATAACCTTTTACCTAAATCCGAAGAATTATGAAGTTATCTATATTTAATTATAACGTGTTTAGTTTTTTATCGCTAATTTAAATTCGAATCTTCCAAACAAAGCAAAATATTAAAAAAATAACCAGTATCAACTTTTTTTACTTGACGTCGTTTCAATGATATGTGCCTTAACGTAGTGTTCGGATGATTCAAATTCATTGATATGCGAATAATCGGCAAAAATATTCAAATAATCGTTAAAAATATTTAAATAATCGAATATTTCTTAATGTATTATTGGTTTAAATTATTTTTATGTTTAAAATTCTTTAAATTACATGAATCATGAATAAAACAAGTTTATTTTTTTTTTACTTTATCAACGTAAAGGACAATGGCGAACTCCCAAATAAATTTTAATTAATTTTTTTTTCTTGCGTCTATAAACGCAAAATATGTAAAAATATAGTTTAAGATCCTGAACGTTTTTTTCTTCGGTCATACTACTGCAGGAAGTCGGGATCTAGAGATATTCCAGTTTAAACAAAATGCACGTCAGACTAGGCTGTATGGTATCATCATCATCATCATCATCATCATCACAGCCCTAAACACAACATTTATCAATTTCTTCGTATTTGTTGTTTCTGCTTATTTCTAGAGGCGTAATTATAAAAATTTAAGATTGAAACTAGATTAAAAATAAATTTATTCAATCACCTTCGGTACAACTAGTTAAGCTGTCGTTGTTTAGATTAATTATTATTTGATTTTCAATAATGCAGTCAAAACTAATGTCTCTTTCAAAGTCATCCATAATCAATTTTTTTTGTTTTTTCTTCCACTTTTGCCCAATGTTCCTTTGTGACATGGCCACATGCTTCAACGAATATAGAAGAAACAGTCCAAAAAGTTAAAGCCGAGTCACAAAATAAGAAGACAAATACAAAATCACAAAATTACGCACAGTAAGATCCCAAAATGGCGCGAGATTGAAATTACGTAATGTTTTTTTCAGCGCGGCCTTGTTTATGAGTTTTTTTGCCTACATAAATTTACGTTGACAAAGTAAAAAAATAAACTTGCTTTATTCATAATTCATGTAATTTAAGGAATTTTAAAAATAAAAATTTTATTAAAGAAATAAAACATTAAAAAAAATTAATGATTCGATTATTTGGATATTTAATGATTTCTTATATTTACGCGAACACTACACATTGAAATAATACTAGTTTTTACGGAATTTATCGCGTATATTTAACTTTTTAAATACCCGACGTTTCGAGCGCTTTACAGCACCCATGGTCACGGGGTGGACTGAGATGTTCAACGTCCAGATGTCATAGTTAACCGCGGTTACCATAGATTAAAATTTAACTTTTGTTCCGATCTACACAGTATGAACTTATGGTATCTTGAAGTCTCGCAGTTGTATGCTTGGGTTGGGATTTAATTTTATTTATTATAGGATCCCAAGCAGATGGTAGCACCCAGCCATCTTCTCTATTGAAATTAGGATGTTTTTTGATTTCAATAGCCTCGCGAATCATCCTTGGAAGGAATCGGTGTTCCTTAGCGCGGATTTGTGGTCTATCAAATCTGATGTAGTGACGGGGGCGATCCTGTACGTGTTCACAGACTGCAGACTTCCCGGAACGTCGATTCTTCACATCAGCTATATGTTCTTTAACGCGGGTTTTAATTGATCTTTTAGTTTGTCTTATGTAGGAGAGACCACATTCACAATCAAGCTTGTACACTCCTGCATCTTGCAGAGGGATGTTACACTTGACTGATGGTAAAAACTGACCAATCTTCTTCAGCGGCTTGAAGTATGTTTTGATTGAAGCGCGCTTCAAGATGTAGCCAATCTTGTCAGTGACTCCTCTAACATATGGCAGTACAGCAGGTACACGCTCGACTGTGGCCGGCTTCACTCGTTCTCTGTGACGTAGGCGCGGGACTCGAAGCTTGTTGTCATGCAAAACTTGCTTCACATGGTGGAGCTCGGCAGCCAGGTGTTTACTGTCAAAGATCCCTCGTGCTCTCTGAAACAAAGATTTACCCACGGTAGCTAACTGTGAAGGATGTGGTGAGAATCACCGTTTAAATATCTATCTGTATGGGTCTTTTTTCTATACACAGTATGGCTCAAGGTGTTATCAGGATTCCGAATTACTAACACATCTAGAAAAGCTAAGGAATTGTTTGCCTCTAATTCCATTGTGAACTGAATTTTAGAATTTATGGAGTTAAGATGGTCTAAAAATGCAGTTACTTTATCTAAAGGTAGAATTGTGAAAGTGTCGTCTACGTACCGCTTGTAGAATCTTGGATTTATGGGAGAAGTAAGCAGGGCTTTCTTCTCAAAGTCTTTCATGAATATGTTGGCGATAATGGGAGATACAGGTGAGCCCATCGCCACACCATCTACTTGCTTGTAGAACTCCTCCTTCCGCAATAGGTAGCCAGATGTAAGGCAGTTTTCTGAGTAATACTGCATATTCTACGGGCATGTTATTTTCTTCCAGCCTTCTAGTTACAATTGAGATGCAGTCTTCAACAGGTAAGCATGTAAACAACGCCTGCACATCAAAACTGACCATAGTTTCATTGTCTGCCAGATGTAGGTCTTTAATCTCGCTGACAAAATGGTAGGAATCTTTTATGTGTGCTCTTGTATGTCCCCTGAGCGGTGAGAGTATTTTCGCTAAGTGTTGAGCCAATCTGTAAGTTGGTGAATCTATTTGGCTCACTATGGGACGTAATGGAGCATTGGGCTTGTGTATTTTTGGTAACCCATACAATTTTGGTGATTTGGCGCACGTAGGTATTATCCATTTTACGTCCAGATTTAATTTTTCGGAGTGTTTCTTTATGAGGTCACTAGTTGTTTTAGTGTGCTATTTGTTGGGTCGTTTTTAACCTTTTTATAAGTACTTACATCCGACAAAAGTTATTGTATTTTAGAATTATAATCTGACGTATCCATGACTACCGTGGCGTTTCCCTTATCTGCGCGGAGAATCGTAAGTTCTGGTTTATTGCGTAGGTTCTTCAACGCTATAAATTCGTCTTTGGGAAGATTCGGTTTAGGCACTGAACATCGACGTAACATAGACAAAATGTCTTGACGTATCGCCTCCAAATCTTCTTTCCGCATATTGTTTTTCAAGTTCTCCAAGCTTCGGGTCCCGCGCCTACGTCACAGTGAACGAGTGAAGCCGGCCACAGTCGAGCGTGTACCTTCTGTACTGCCATATGTTAGAGGAGTCACTGACAAGATTGGTTACATCTTGAAGCGCGCTTCAATCAAAACATACTTCAAGCCGCTGAAGAAGATTGGTCAGTTTTTACCATCAGTCAAGTGTAACATCCCTCTGCAAGATGCAGGAGTGTACAAGCTTGATTGTGAATGTGGTCTCTCCTATATAAGACAAACTAAAAGATCAATTAAAACCCGCGTCAAAGAACATATAGCTGATGTTAAGAATCGACGCTCCGGGAAGTCTGCAGTCTGTGAACACGTACAGGATCGCCCCCGTCACTACATCAGATTTGATAAACCACAGATCCTCGCTAAAGAACACCGATTCCTTCCAAGGATGATTCGCGAGGCTATTGAAAATCAAAAAACATCCTAATTTCAATAGAGAAGATGGCTGGGTGCTACCATCTGCTTGGGATCCTATATTAATAAAATTAAATCCCAACCCAAGCATACAACTGCGAGACTTCAAGATACCATAAGTTCATACTGCGTAGATCGGAACAAAAGTTAAATTTTAATCTATGGTAACCGCGGTTAACTATGACATCTGGACGTTGAACATCTCAGTCCCCCCCCCCCGTGACCATGGGTATAAAGCGTAAAGCGCTCGAAACGTCGGGTATTTAAAAAGTTAAATATACGCGATAAATCCCGTAAAAACTAGTATTATTTCAATATTTGGATATTTTTACCGATTATTTGAATATTTTTGTCGATTATTCGAATAACATTGAATTTTAATCATCCAAACACTACGGTAAGGTACCTAGCGACATATCATTGAAACGACGTCGTTAAAAAAATTTGATACTGGTAATTTTTTTAATATTTAGCATTGTTTGAAAGATTCGAATTTAAATTATTGATAAAAAACTATACACGTTGTAACGAAATATAGATAACTTCACAATTCTTCGGATTTACGTAAATAGTTATTTTACATCGTGTGAGTATGCTTGTGCATAACTTATAATAACTTTATTGCGGAATGAAAAATGTGAAACGTCAAAAGGATTTCTTAGATTTGGTTGGTTATAGTCAGTATAATTTTCATATATGTTTATATAGGGTAGTTACTAGCATAGAGGGAATCCTTAAAAAACGCATTAGTACCTATATATAGAAGTTTTCTAAATAAAATACACGTCAAACTCGGCTGTATGTTGTAAGATCTTTATCTGTCTTAACTGACGAATCGTAACAAATACAACAACTAGTAAATTAAGTTTTAAATTGTATATGATTATTTTTTCTATAGCCCATAAGTTTGATTAGATAATACATAGTAAATTATTTTACTGATATCTGTAATGGTGACTTAAGTAGACGCTTAATAATTTCATCACCTATTATTTCGCCATTGTCCTTTGTGTAGGCAAAAAAACTCATATACAAGACCGCGCTGAAAAAACCGCTACGTAATTTCAATCTGCCGCCATTTCGGGAGCTTACTCTGCGTAATTTTGTGATTTTGTGTTTGTCTTCTTATTTTGTGACTCGGCTTTAACTTTTTAGACTGTTTCTTCTATATTCGTTGAAGCTTGTGCCCATGTTAAAAACGTTGATTAGGCAAAAGTGGTAGAAAAAACAAAAAAAAGATTATGGATGACTTTGAGAGACATTAATTTTGACTGCATTAATGAAAATCAAATAATAATTAAACAACGACAGCTTAACTAGTTGTACCGAAGGTGATTGAATAAATTTATTTTTAATCTAGTTTCAATCTTAAATTTTTATAATTATGCCTCTAGAAATAAGCAGAAACAACAAATACGAATCTAAACAACGACAGCTCAAGTAATTGTACTAAAAGTGATTGAAAAAATGTATTTTTAATCTAGTTTCAATCTAAATTTTTTATAATTGTGCCTCCTAAAATAAGTAATATAATAACAAATACGAAGAAACTGATAAATCGTGTGTGTTTAAATTATCTGTTTTTAATTTATTCTGGTATTATTCAAACTAAACAATAAATGATTACTAACTCTAAATAATCGATATCGATTTTTTGAAGAATCGAATATTGTACGTTCCCATTTTTTTGGTTGGCATGCTTGGTGCAATAAGTCTGACAGCTGTCAAAATGTATTTCTTAGATTTGGTTGACTATAGTTAAAGATATGCGTCAATTGATCCCTAACAGATGGACTGCGTATGTTCGCACGTAAATAACACTGTCGTGACTTCTCTGAGTTGCATCTATTTCGTTTCAGATTTAAATGCGATATTCCGTCGTCTATTATTTACTCCTCTAGTACAAACAGCATTGTAAAAGTTTACTGGTGCCTTATAGGGGGAGTTTTTCATAGTTGCTATGCAACTGTGACACAGTTTTTGTTCCTTATGGTCTACTAGTATTTTATTTTTATTTATTTTTTTATAGAATAAGGGTTACAAGCGGGCACACAGTCTACCTGATGGTAAGTGAATACTCTGGCTCATAGATATTTTCATATCGTCTGTTAAGAAACACTGCAGCGTTGAGCTGCTATTTTAGGCTGCTATTCTGTGAGAGCGTGGTTCTTTCCCGGCCGAGTGGGAGCCATTCGTTATACAAGCATAATATACCTGCAGCGTGGGTGTACCATGTATAGAAGTGCTCGTTAGTGGCGTAGCTGTAGCGGTTATGGTTGTGATGCGGTGCGGTTACAGACGGTGAGCGCGGAGTCGTCGGGGCGTATATCACGCGCGCTGGCCGTATGCGGTGCGCTGGCGGGCGCGGGCGCGGTCGTGGCGGGCGCCTGGGCCGCGCTGCGCCACTGCCGCCGCGTCGTGCGCCGTCCGCCCCCCGCGCGCCCGCTCATGCCGCTAAAGCCGCCACTTCCGCACCCGCCGCACCCGCCGCGCCCGCCGACGCGCTCGCGCCCGCTCGGCGCCAGCTGCTCCGAGTGAGTACACGCATGCACGCATACACGCGAGTACGCACACGCGTCATACATACACACGGACACACTTGTAGTGTACAACGTAAGGACAACACGCACTCCCGTTCGGTATCAGTCGCTCCGAATCCAAAATCACAAAACGAAATCATCACATGGGTGACGATTTCGTTTTCTGATCGCAGTACACAGTGAAATTACGAACAGAGGAATCGCGCCGCAACTCTAACAATTATTTTTTCACTCAATGAGCAAATACATTGACCTCTATATATACAAGTACGCTGGACTAGCTATACCATACAAAATGTCTGTGCCAATTTGAAGCACACCTAACGGTCGTCTTGGAAACTAAAATTGACATAATATGCCAAAGTCTGTTATCTTATTTAAATTGTCATGTTTAAAAAATCTGTATTTAGAACTTTTAAACTAAAAAACGAAAGTGTTGTTTGATTGTGTATAATATTAGTACCATAATAAGAATTATTTTTAAAAACAATGAGAGTGTGCGTAATCTGTAAAACTCGTTACCAAAAGCGAAGTGGTATAACATTTCACAAGTAAGTGAATTTGCAGCTAATATTAAACAAATTAAAACTATTTCATAATATAAGTACTTAAAAATTTGTTACTAATCTTAATATCATATATACCAACATGTTTGGCTATATATTACTGAGTTTTGATAAACAATAAAATTCAATAGGGTTGTCGAGTTCCTTGTCTATAATATTTATCGATGTTCTTTCCTACCCATATCTGTTAACAAACAAAGTCGCCAACAACAGATGATTATCAAATGTTATTAATTAACAGGTTTCCAACTGAACCTAGACTAAAATTATGGCTTAAAAGCATAAATATTGTGAATTGGCGTCTGTAACAAAATGATCATATTTGTTCTGAACATTTCACAGACTGTTTTATTAGACACGAGAGCACCTGTTCGGATATAATGATCTATACGAGTGTAAGAGTGAGCGCAAGTGTGAATACGTATGCATGTGTGAATAGGTTCAATATTTAAAGGCATAATTTGTAAAAACAGTCGCAAATAAATCATCACGTAGTAAACACGTCTTTCTGTGAGCACAAACTCTTACAAACCAAAGTGAACCCTAACACCTATTACATAGTGGTCGAAATCGAGCCGGATTTCAATTCGACTTACGACGTTCCTGCGCCGCGCGATAATACAAAAGGACTGGTCGAGCGACGAGCTTAGAACAATAGAAGACGTTTGCGTAAACAAGTTTTTATGCACGTTTAATGCACCATAATATGGCATCGAGTTGTAGATTGGAAAGAAATAAACTATTATAACACGGAAATAAGAAACAACATTCGAGTTTATATACGATTTGAAGATAGTTTTATCTACTTATACCGAAAATGGCTAGTACACCGGAACAATATATATTATAATTATACGTGGTAGAGCCATGCTGCAGTTATATTAGTAGTATAGTTGTAGCACGAATGGGTCGGCTCGACCGGGGAAGGACCACGCTCTAACAGAATACCAGCGTGAAATAGTAGCTTAATGCTGCTGTATTTCGTATGGTGAGTGTAGAGAACCGGAGACCCTTTTTTACTGGGAACGAGGCATTCCATCTCAGTCCTCACGGATGACAACGCATCTGCATTTTGATTTTTAATGGAGGATAGATGTAGATGTCTATGGGCCGCAGCAACCACTTAGCATCAGGTGGACTGTGTGCTCGTTTGTCACCCTATTCTATAAAAAAAAAAAAAAAAAAAAAAACACCGGAACAAATACTAAATGTGTTGGAAGATACAGCTATATATAGGAAAAACTCAAACAAATTTAAAGAAATGTCCAAAACAACGTCTAACGAAGGGTTACGTAGAAACACATATTAAAACCGTTGAAGAATACTGGTCTACATATAAAAGGGCACATGAAGAATTAGTGAAGTGTGTTCCAAAACCGAAACGACAAGATATTCCGTATTTCGTTAATGAAGAATATTTTATTCAGGAAGGTTTATATATTTGTATACTAGCCGATCTTAATGATTTATTATTTTCGCTTAACAAGTTATCGTCTTCGACACTTACGCAAGTTGATAATAATAATTCGGGTTCTTCTAAAGAAATGCATGTCAAGTTAACAAGGATTCAACTTCCAACTTTCTCGGGGGTTTACGATTAGTGGCCTTATCAAGATTTGTTTACATCATTAGTGCATAATAACACATCATTAAGTAACGTACAAAGGTTGCATTATTTGAAAGGAAGTCTTACGGGAGAAGCCCTGTCACTTTTGAAACACGTCCAAGTCATCGATGCTAACTATGAAATGTCGTGGAACATGCTTAAAGAGCGTTTTGGCAACAAGCGGATTATCATTAATTCAATATTAAAAAGATTGTTTACCCAAAGAAAAATAAGTGTACGAACGGCAAGTAACCTCAAATCTATTGTGGATACTACAACAGAATACCTGAATGCATTAAAAAACCTTGGGCTGTCAACAAGCTCCTGGGATCCACTCATTATATTTTTAGTTGTACAAAAATTGGACCCGGAGACGCACCATGATTGGGAAGAAGATGCTTACAAGGATAATGCTGAAAACTTACCTACATGGGACGCACTCAATAAATTTTTACAGTTAAAATTCCGCACTCTTGAGCTTTGCACGCCGCCAACCAGAGAAAGACCAACACCTAGAGGAAGGGAATACGCTGTTCACTTATCTACGAATACTGCGACTTCTACGAAACTAAGAGTTTATGCTATGTGTAACGAAAATCATACATTGTGTCACTGTGAACAATTCATCAAGCTAAGCCCAACAGAGAGATGTGATTACATAAAGAAACATAATCTGTGCTTTAATTGTCTGGCCCCTGGTCACTCTGCACGACGATGTCGCCTGAAGATGTCCTGTAGAACATGTCACAAACGTCATCACACGCTCACGCACCATTTCACGCCTATGACGTCATCAAGCCAGCCAGACAATTACAAGAATCAAGACAAACATAACGATGTTGAAGATCATCAATCTTCTGCACAATCAGCCGAATCCAATGTCACACTTTCATCACATGTCGCTTCTAAGGTGTCCACTGCATTGCTGGCCACAGCACTCATACCAGTAAGAAGTTACGATTCAAACCAAGTGACAGTGTTACGCGCGTTGATTGATCACGGCTCCCAGGAGGCGTTTATGAGTGAAAGAGCAGCCCAGATGTTACGATTAAGGAGAACGCCTATCAATGGCACTATCACTGGCGTTGGCTCTACTAAAACAAACGTTAAATATGCTGCAGAAATTGAACTTCTCTCAAGGCACGACCCAAGCTTCAACATAAGAATCAGAACGTACATTATGTCAACGCAACTGACTACCCAACTGCCGACTCAAACTATCTCTACAAGCACCTGGCCGCACTTGCAAGGACTTGTATTGGCTGACCCAAGCTATAATCAACCAGGACGAGTAGACCTATTACTAGGAGTCGACGTGTGTGCTCAAATAATGAAAAGCGAAGTTATCGAAGAAAAGGGTCCCCCCCGGAACACCTTGTGCTCAAAATACGACCCTGGGTTGGATTCTGTTTGGGAGCGTGGAAGACAAACCCGTCGATAAATTGATTGTTATGCACCATAATGTTGATCTAAACGACATGCTTAAACGAATGTGGGACAAGATGCGTACGATAAGATTATACCTACAGCAGATGAACGAAGGTGCGAGGAAATCTACGAAACCACAACTGTCAGAAATAATGACGGACGTTACATTGTGACACTACCCAAGAAACCTAAAATGTTATTATCAACCCAAGGAAACATGCGAACAATAGCTCTGCGGAGACTTTATCAATTAGAACAAAGATTCAAGAAAAACCCAAAACTAAAAAACGATTATGCTACGGTTATGAAGGACTACGAATCAAATTACATGGAAGAGGTACCCAGAAACGAAATGAACAATCCATCGGTTTACTTACCACATCATGCTGTTGTTAAGGAAGAAAAGGAAACTACAAAAATTAGAACAGTATTTGATGCATCACAAAGAGGAACCAACAACATCTCACTCAACGACGAGCTGTTGGTGGGACCACAGCTACAAGGAGACATGAGAAGTCTTATAATGAGATGGCGGATGAAAAGGATCTGCTTTGTAGCGGATATACAAAAAATGTATCTCCAAATCATGGTCACGGAAAAGACAGGGATCTGCAACGAGTACTTTGGAGATATGATGATCAAGATCCTGTCAAGGACTACCGACTTACCAGAGTTACGTTCGGAACTGCTTCTGCTCCTTACTTGGCAGTAAGGACCTTGCACCAAGTAGCTCATAACGAAGACCAAAACCATCCCGAAGCAACAGGAATAATAAAGAGGGATTACTTCATGGATGATATGATGTCTGGAAAAGACAACCTCGCCGATGCTATCAGACTAGCCAAAGACGTAGACAGCATACTAGAGAAGGGAGGCTTCAAATTAAAAAAAATGGTGTTCTAATGATGCAGACTTCCTAAAGGAATTTGAAGAGTCAGAAAGAATTTCTCATGTAAAACTGGAGATAACATTAGACGGGATTACACAAGCGTTAGGACTACGCTGGAACATGGGCAAAGATTTATTTCAATACAGCTTAAATCTACCTACTACGGTAAATATAATTACAAGGAGAACAATTCTGGGTGACCTACAAAGATTATTTGATCCACTGGGCTGGTTGGCACCTTCTGTCTTACCTGCCAAACTTCTAATCCAAAGATTATGGCTGCAAGGAGTAGCATGGGATGAGGAGGTGGACGAAACGATTGCTGCAGAATGGAACAATATACGAGATTCGTTTCATATGTACCTACCTGATATCGAAGTAAACAGATGGTTAAATACTACTGAAGCCACACTAAACAGTGTTACTATCCACGGATTCTGTGATGCATCATCACGAGCTTACGCTGCAGTAGCCTACCTAAGAGTAAGAACAGAAAGCGGTGAAGTGAAGACATCAATCATCGCTGCTAAAACCAAGGTCGCACCTACAAAACCACAATCCCTACTTCGTCTGGAACTAAGTGCAGCTGTATTGCTTGCTAGTCTTTTAAAACAGATAAAGGAATCAATGAACGTGCCTGCCTGTCAGATATTTGCTTGGACTGACTCAACCATTGTACTCTCGTGGTTGTTTGGTGATCCTGCAAGATGGAGCACTTATGTGAGAAACAGCGTTGTTGAAATACTTGACAAATTCGACAATCATAATTGGTATCATGTCAAATCGCCAGAAAACCCAGCTGACTCCGCTTCACGAGGGCAATCATTGCAAGAGCTAAAAAATGATGAACTGTAGTAGAAGGGCCCAGAGTGGCTGAGAGTAGGGGAAATCCAATACAGCAGACCAAATACAACCTGGGCAGACCTGGAAAGAAAGAAATCAATAAATGTTTTTTACACACTTTGAAACTAGACAAAGAGAAGAGTATTAGTACAAAATTTGAGGATTGTGACAAGTTGCAAGAATTGCTTAAGGTGATTATATATTCTAAAAGATTCTTGAAGGGAAAGAAAATGCAATACAAAGACTTACCTGTGACTACGACGGAACTTAATGATGCGCTTAAAACCTGCATAAAAATAACTGAAATCAAAGGAACAAATTAAAATAGCCAGTAAACTAAAGAGTTTAAAACCTTACCTGGACGACGATAATATCCTCAGGGTGGGCGGCCGACTGCGTCACTCAGACCTAAATAAAGACAGCAAAAATCCAATTATCCTTGATCATGACACCTATCTTACCTCTCTTCTCGTCGCTGATGCACACTCTAAAACACTACACGGTGGAGTTCAAGTAATGCTCTGCTTTCTGCGAACAAGATTCTGGATCCTAAGAGCTAGAATATTAGTAAAATCAAGGATAAGAAAATCTCTCATTTGTGCAAAACTTAACGCCACAGCAAGGTCGCAACTAATGGGGGACTTACCTCGAGTTCGAATTACACCAGCTAAACCCTTCTTAAATACGGGCATGGATTTTGCTGGCCCCTTTTAATATCTTGATGTCTAGAGGAAGAGGAGCAGGGACAAACAAAGCATACGTTGCTCTCTTTGTCTGTATGTCGACGAAGGCGATTCATTTAGAATTAGTGGGAGATCTTACCTCATCAGATGCCTTCATCGGAGCCTTCAGAGGGTTCGTAGCTAGACGTGGAAGATGCGCTCACGTCTGGAGTGACCAAGGACGTAATTTTGTTGGGGCGAACAGGATACTAGTTGCAGAATGGGCTGAAGCCAAACTTAAATTTGACGGTCCAATTGCTGAGATGCTAGAAATGGATGAAAGGTTTTCGTATGCCCAACATGGGTGGACTGTGGGAAGCCGGAATCAAATCGATGAAAAACCATTTGAAACGAATAATGACCTCTCACGTAACGTACGAAGAGATGAGCACCTTGTTATGTTATGAGCAAATTGAAGCTTGCCTCAGTCACAACTCACGACCGCTTAACATATTAAGAGACACGGACATAGACAACATCCAGCCGTTAACGCCTGGCCATTTCCTTGTCGGTGAGACATCTATTAAGGTTCCGACACCAGACTTCCAAAACATCCCAACAAGTCACTTATCAAGAAGGCAGTACCAACAAAGATTGTTGACGGACTTTTGGCGTCGATGGCAACAAGAATACCTATTGAGAATGCAACAGTGTCCGAAATGGCAAATGAAGGTCAAGGAATTTGACATTGGTCACATTGTCCTCATAAAATCAGATAGTTTGCCCCCAGGTAAATGGATGATGGGACGCATTGTAAAAAAACATCCGGGTTCTGACGGTGTCACTCGTGTATACAGTGTAAAAAGTGGTGCTAGTGTCGTGCAAAGATCTGTAAATAAGCTGTGTTACTTACCAATAGACATTGAATCATGATTTATTTTGTGTATAACTAAGGCAAATTGTGTTTATCTATATTCTATGCATTTAATTGTGTACAGATTTTGTGTCTTTATTTTTTCTTTGTGTTATCTTTGAGTCTATTGTAATCAAAACGTTGTAACGTGTAATAAATTTGTTAAAGGGCTCATAGGCCCTTTGGTGGGCGGTATGTTCAGATATAATGATCTATACGAGTGTAAGAGTCAGCGCAAGTGTGAATACGCATGCATGTGTGAATAAGTTCAATATTTAAAGGCATAATTTGTAAAAACAGTCGCAAATAAATCATCACGTAGTAAACACGTCTTTCTGTGAGCACAAACTCTTACAAACCAAAGTGAACCCTAACACCTATTACAGCACCACTTTGAAAAAGTGCAGTATTTCGGCGATATTTTCTGGTAGTACCAGTACCAGTACGTATAAAAGTATTAGATTATTATTCCGAATATTTTTTTATTTCTTCTTTCCTTGTTTTCCCCCAAACTCAAGGGCCATAGCCAAGTCTCGAAAGGTCGCCTGATGATGTCGAGCCACGTGTGTTAGTGGGCAGCGGCTAGAGGAGATTCTTCTCCCTGTAGTGCTGTAGTCGAGGTGGAATCGTCAGGGAAGAGGAGTGTTGGTATGGCGATTGGCGATGCGACGCCACTCGACTATCCTTCCAAGTGCTCGTTTTTCCCTGGTTCCATTCACATATCAGGCTCGGGGAGTCCGTAGTGCAGGTAGAGTCAGAGGCCGCGAAGGACAGTGTGCCTTGTATTTCTGGTGCGCCTTATCTGAGAAGAAAAACGGGGGGAAAGGTCAGCAACTAAGGAGGGGCTGCCATTGGGCGGCTAGCACCAGAGGGACCGCGGATGTGAATGAAAGCGTTTCCGTGGCCCTGTTAATTTGCGGCGGAGGTAGAACACCATGGGGTTTTAGTAAGTGCGAGCCTAGAGATTTAATTCTCTCTCGAGTCTCAAGATTTGATTTGTGCTTTAACTTCGTAGTGGTCCTACTTTAGTTTATGGCCATCGTTTGTATTCACGGTTTTTGGCAGCTTCCTCTTCCGCAACATCCACTGACAAAGGCAATTAAGTGTTCGATCGAGAACCCATGAATTGCGATATGTCAAGCCTCCTCGAATACGTGGCACTGCCGAAGCTGGAAAGCTTAGGAGGATCAACTTAGAAATGAGGATATCGGCAGTAGAACCAGAGTGACCGACATGGCTTAATGCATTAGTAAGCTGACGTGGCAATTGACCGGCCATATAGCTCGAAGAACCGATAACTGATGGGGGAAAAAGATTCTCGAGTAGCAGCCTCGTACTGGCAGGTGAAGTGTCGGAAGTTCCCCTACTAGATGGAGTGTAAACCTGGGTTGATGGATGCAGGTGGCTCAGGACCGTGCTTTGTGGCATTCCTTGGGGAGGTCTATATTCAGCAGTGGACTTGTGAAGGGCTTTAATGATGATGAATGATAGTGGCATTATATTAATATGATACATAAATAGAATGGACGTTACGAGTAGAGTCCATCTATCCATAGAGTTCATTCTATTTATTCAGGTATAGGTAGGGTATAGAATTTTTATCGATATATTTTGTCACACTGTCCTACCCCTATTAATAGTTCCGTGGACGCGCACTTCTGCTGCATCATTGTCCTTATCATGTCACAGTGTATAGCAAGTCCAGCGTACTTGTATATATGGAGGTCAGTGGAGCAAATAGTATAAACTTGTTCATAACATATTACTGAGGTAGTCTATTGCCGCTGTCCTATATGGGAAATAGGCCGAGTAACAATCTCAGAAACAATTTTTAAAAGATTGAACTCATAGTGTTTAAGGCGTCAAAAAAACTCACTGGTATACTGACCGGAATCTTGCAAATGCAAATTTCGGTCATATAACCGAAGATCTGAACGATGATTCAAACTTAAGCAGGGAAAGAAGTCACATGCCGGGGGTACTCAATATAAAAGGATTTGTGGTGCTTCAGTTAAATTTATTAAACAGAGAACTGCTTCTAGAGGTGGGTCGTCGACGTAATTTTCGTCAACGAAACTAGACCGTCTATTGCCGTCCATCGACTAGGTGATCAACTAGTTGAATTCGTCGACTAGTTAACGCGATAACGGCAGACGCGCGGTGTCTACGGGCGTAACGCAACGACGACGGTGTCTTAACTAGTTTTGCCCACTATTCGACAGTTGAATGAACGGCAAAGTTAGTAAAAATTCAAAGAAATTTGATTTGAGCACAAGGCACTCGTACTGGTGTATAAATACCTACTATCGAATGTTACAATCAATCGATTTAAACTTTCCTTCGTAGTTTTCCAGGCTTAGGACTAGTGAATACGTTTTTAAAAGATTTTACTACTATCGTATTTCAGGCGTATTTAGAAGATCAACTGATTTTATGTACATATTTAATTATTTACATTTTTATTTACATATTTTTATGGATACTTAGGTGTTTAAGGAATATTTTTATTTCTTTTTATCTTTATTTTTTCTCTTAAGTTTTTTTTTCTCATAAGTGTTGGTCGAAGCAAGGGAATTACCAGTAAAATATCTTAGTCACCGATATAACGCGTTTACTTTAGACGACAAATATCTAGACTGGCAATTGGAAGCAGGTACTGCGATCGTCGATACACCTGTCAAGCGAAGCGATTACGATGCACACATCCCATTTACATCAGGATGGGCTTCAGCTGTGGACTATTATAAGCTGATGAATATCTCAATGTTCAGCTAGCTTAAAGGCATGCGGATACAATTAAATATTTACAGCCTGGTGTGCAGTTCGTTCGACGATTGCGCGACGGAGAGCCTGTGCGAGCGCTACCCGCGGCCCACCACCAACCCGCCGCCCAGCCCGGCAACGGCAAGCAGCGGCGGTGCGGGGGCGGGCGGGGGCGCGGGTCGGCGCCGCGCCTACCGACACTACCGCGCCATGAACCGGCCGCCGCCGCCCACGCCCGCCTCCACCGACGCTTGCGAGTCCGAGCCCGAGCCCGCCGCGCGCGCCCCGCCACCTTCCCCCGCGCCGCTCACCTACTGACCCACGTAAGTCGCTACACCCCTTTATATAATAATAATAATGTCCTTCAGACCGAATTTCGGCCACGGCGAACAACAGCGGACACACACACACACACACACACATACAACGGAGGCTAGCTATCGGCGCAGGACAGGATTATAGTGCCCAAGTGTATGCACAAGCACAGGTGCACTTTCTGTCTCCTCACTCTAATAATCCGATGGGACGATAAACCAACACGACCAGAGAGAGATCAGGCGCAGGACCAACGACTTTACGTGCTTTCCGAGGCACGGGGGTGAGACACCGCCAACTTCCTGACTCCGGGCAACTACTGAGAATTTCTTGACAAAAAAACTCATTAATTGATTTTTTGGCCCGACCCGGGATTCGAACCCAGGACCTCATGATCAGCAGTCGCACTACTACAACCACTAGAACAACGAGGCAGTCACACCTTTATATAACGTATATACCGCGCCGCTTTACCGCTGACGCGTTTGACACTGCCACATGAGCCGCTGCACGACTTTAATCCGGCTCGAAAAACCGTAACGAATATACGGGTAACAGTTCAAATAGTTTAAGATGATATTACCTAAGTATGAGTGGCGTATTAGTTATGAAGTAAACACACGTGTTGTTACATTAATAGTTTATTGCCCACTGAATTTAATTTAAAAATAAGTACATTATATTCGCGGCGCATTATATCTAAAGTTTACTTTTAAACTGGCTCGAAAGACCAAAAATACATAGTTGCTAGAACAACCTTAATGAAAAAATTTCTCTAGAAATTCGATAATAGAGGAAATCTGTCTAAAATCGAACCTAATAGTCATAGCTCTGGGCTCGTATATTTGTAGTATATTCATGCAAAGACTTACTTATAGCAGTTTAGTTTTGTATTTCAAAATAAGATAGTAAATTAACTTATAGTCAACCAAATCTAAGAAATTAATACCTTTTGACGTTTCACATTATTCATTCCGCAATAACTTTGCACAAGATGTAAAATAACTATTTACGTAAATCCGAAGAATTGTGACGTTATCTATATTTTGTTACAACGTGTATAGTTTTTTATCACTAATTTAAATTCGAATCTTTCAAACAATGCTAAATATTTAAAAAATAACCAGTATCAAATTTTTTATCGACGTCCTTTCAATGATATGTCGCTAGGTACCTTACCGTAGTGTTTGGATGATTAAAATTCATTGTTTTCGGATAATCGACAAAAATATTCAAATAATCGATAAAAATATCCAAATAATCGAATCATTAATTTTTTTAATGTTTTATTTGTTTAATAAAAATTTTATTTTTAAAATTCCTTAAATTACATGAATTATGAATAAAACAAGTTTATTTTTTTACTTTGTCAACGTAAATTTATGTAGGCAAAAAACTCATAAACAAGGCCGCGCTGAAAAAAACATTATGTAATTTCAATCTCCCGCCATTTTGGGATCTTACTGTGCGTAATTTTGTGATTTTGTATTTGTCTTCTTATTTTGTGACTCGGCTTTAAATTTTTGGACTGTTTCTTCTATATTCGTTGAAGCATGTGCCCATGTCACAACGGAAGATTGGGTAAAAGTGGAAGAAAAAACAAAAAAATTAATTATGAATGACTTTGAAAGAGACATTAGTTTTGACTGCATTATTGAAAATCAAATAATAATTAATCTAAACAACGACAGCTTAACTAGTTGTACCGAAGGTGATTGAATAAATTTATTTTTAATCTAGTTTCAATCTTAAATTTTTATAATTATGCCTCTAGAAATAAGCAGAAACAACAAATACGAAGAAATTGATAAATGTTGTGTTTTAAATTATCCATCTTTAATTTATTCTGGTACTATTGAAACCAAACTGTAAATGATTACTAACTCTAAATAATCGATATCGATTTGTACGTCCTCATTTTTTGGTTGGCATGCTTGGTGCAATAAGTCTGACAGCTGTCAAAATGTATTTCTTAGATTTAGTTGACAATAATTTCAAACTTTATTTATGTGTACTTTTTATATTTTACTAGTAATTCACATTTCATTTCAGATATCTGGTTGCTGAACTACAATTCTATCAACGTTGTTCATCGTTCTCTTTTATACTAACTAACAAAATGAAGGTCAAAGAGTCAGATTTGTATTGATTACTAACCCAAACAATTGAGTTTTTGTGCCTTTTTAATTATCCTTATTTTCTTACAAGATATCTTTCACCTGCGTTAGTAAGACTATAATGCAATTGAAACTCAACATCTTATACCACACAGGTCATGTTTTAAACGAATACGCAATTCTCTTTGATATCATATCTTTGTGTGTGTGAAAGTGAATACTTCTTTTGATTTGAAACTCGAAACGAAAAAGCGACACCAAAGGAGACAAACATATTTGACTTCTATGTGATTGAACCTGCGAGAGAATGATAGATTACAGTGTACAGTGTTTCTTATTATTTCGGTCTCCTTTTTATGTGGTGCTCTAAAGATAGTTAATATAACTTTTAAGTGTTAAACAAACAGTTAAAATAATAACAACTTTATTAAATACACAATATTAACGTTATTGAATAAAATTATCATATTCAAACCGGTATTTCATAACCTAACTGTCGATTAATTTTATTTTAATTATTAAATTAATGTTATTTAGGCCATCTAGTGTATATTTTACGTACCCACGTACGGTTTGAAAGTAAATCAATTTATGTTTGATAAAATGAGTTTACCTGTAGAAGGAAGAAGATGGCGCTATTACAATACAATTTTATTTAAAGAAAAATACTCTTGATGTATTACTAATTTAGGTTTAGAATAAGATGGAAATAGTTTTTAAGCTTGGTAACAATATTATAATAAACACTACAATTATCCTACTCCTAATACTGCATTCTTCTCATTCTCTCGAAGTTTAGTTTTCTGAAGGTTTCATTTCTACCGCATGTGAACTGCACGCATGTTTTTTTTTAAATGCCCACCTGTGTATAATTGACTTGTTAATCAAATATGTATACAAACAAAGCACCACATCAAGTTCGTGCTTAATTTAATTTGCTGGTAGCAAAAATAAGTAGGTTGTAATATGTATGCAGTCCGACGTGTCGAACAACGAAGTGTTATTTTATTAGACTAATAAGAATACATTTAAGAACATGACTCAGGAGGAAAACAGGAAATTTTATATAAAATAATGTTTCACGTTTATTCACATATTTATGTTTTTACTGTGTGTATATATACCTATATACACTTCACTGGGATATTCACAGGGATATATATACAACATGTAACAAAAACCCTGTGATTCCCGTTAAGTGCGTTATCAGAATCAGTATCCAAGCGTATAGACATTTTTTTTTTCAAAAAACACGAGTATCGGTAAAGCGGGGTCTTTGATAATCCTCTTACTCCTCGGCCAATGCAGAGATAATAAAACCACTAACAATTTGCAAATTATTTTTTTTCATTAAAATAATTTTTTTAAATGTGCTTTTTTTTTGAAAAAAATTATTTCTTTACGCTTGGATACCGATTCTGATAACGCACTTAACGGGAACCACAGGGTTTTTTGTTACATGTTGCGTGTATATATATATACCCCTTTCACTCACTAGATAACATATTATTCTACACCACTACTACGCAATAAGTGCAAATCCTAGCATAAGGGAAACCATAGGAAAATGTTTATTTCGCCCAAATAATATCTACTTTACTTTTTAGCCTTATATCTGTCTAAAAGTTATAATTGAAACCTAGTCCTAGTAAGATATGAAAACAACTTCCTTTACATTTTTATGTTTTCGTTCAAATTTGTTGTAATGCGCGAAAGAGAAAATTTACAGACAACTATCTCTACACCTGCCTCTTTCTATAGTCATTTAGTGAAAAGAGAGAGAACATATTTAAGTATTTCTTGAATAGACGTCGATACGCGCACAATTTTTTCAATAATATCCTATTGGCCATTACATGCGATAGGAATTGAGTTATATGTAATATAAGATGTATTAGTTGTGACATTGTAAGCCCGATGACACATCCCATTGTGTGAAATATGTAAAGTGAAATTTCAATTTTGGTGCTATTTCACTGTTCGTGCCTCAGTAATTGTATTTATATAATTTTTAATTTATGTATTAATATTAGCATAAATTGTGTAAATATTACATAAATCTAGATTATCAAAAGAACTCGATAGAAACGAGACTTGTAGTTATTCCATGTCAAGACTACATATATGTGTACGAATTTTCATAAAGTACGTTTTTAAACAAATATATGCACAAATAATTTGTCCGTTATGTGTTTTAGCATTTCCTAATTAACTTCATAATAGTATATACCTGCATAAAAATACAATTTTTTTAAAAATTCGTCTAATATAAGAATACAATTTCGATGTATAAAAATATTCGATTCATTTTCTCGATAAATAAAATTAGATGAAGTAAGGTACATCTAGTTTTTATAATATTATTTATACCCTAGTCAGGTATTAGGTCCTTTAAAAATTTTGGATAGACATTTTCTAAATTTACAGTTCTTAAATATTACTATTTCCTCCAGTTTTTAAAGCTTTTAGATAAATATTTTACTAGTGTCTGTTGTAAGTCCTACTATACAAATTTTCTTGTTATTAATTGTTATTGTTGCGTAAGCAATAAAGTATTCTATTAATATAATTTAAGAAACTAGAAAAGAAGTTGCTTCGGGGATTTGCGATAAGGATGATATCATGCAGTGACTGAAAACAATAATGTCTAATGTTTAATTTTTTTTTGTTTTTCATACATCTATATGTATATGATTCAACATATCTGTACAGTCACACGCATGCCGTTTTATATATTATTTTTAGAAGTATTTCAATAACGTATCACAAAGTTAGCTTTCTAAAATGATATTGCACTTGACAACCCCCAAGTCGCATCTTCGTTTCACTTGCTTCATATAATTTGAGATTGATTACCGAGTTTTGTCTATATTCTATATTTAAATT